GTTTGCATCCAGGCACTTGCGACCGGCACCAAGATTGCGTATCTGTAACGAGGCAACGTTAAGCTCAAGAAAAAGACAGACGATTATTTTTATAGCGCATCTATTTTAAACCAGTAGTTAAAATAATCAGTTAGTGACGTCATGAGTGAATGGAAACTGAAGGACGAATGAAGACAATGATTTGTCAAATAGCTCGAATTAGGAGCAGTGACTGTTATATATATAACATATACTGACTGAATGGATGCATCAACGAAGCATTAATAATCAGGTACTAAGACAATGTCAACCGTGACACAGGATCAGAAGTCTGAGCAGAGTGGATGAGCTTTGTCACCCATTGTACCAAGAACCTAATTAACCAGGAGCAATAACGAAAATCGGGCATTCGCCTTCTAGCTCCAAACGTACTAATCGCGTCGGACCACAAAAGAAACTTCCGAAATCAACCAACTTCTTTGCCTTAAAGAAGGCCTGTGAGGCACGGGTCTCAATCATCTTACTGATCATATCATTTGCACTGTGTATAAATAAACAGCTTGACGCTGTTTTCAGTACATATATACTGTATGTTGATGAAAGCTTATGATGAATAGGAAATTATATACATATGAATGCAGAGAAGATAGTTAATGCCTAAAATGCATGTTCTAAACAAGGAGTTAAACAGCAAAATGGAGGAAGTCTATGCTAAATGTTAACCAAAGCCTGAATGACAACAAATTTTGCTTAACAGAACGTCCTGTATTGCAATCTGCATATTTTCGTGGATTATTTTCTCAAGGTTGACTAATGCAAACTCATAAGTCTCAGCTTAATTCAGCCGGCAAACATCTTTTATGGCTGTTTCCGGGTCTTCAGAAATCTGCTTCAAATCACCACCGTTCATTTTGCAGATATGAGCAAGGTTTGAATTATTTGCATTTATTTACATGCTATCCAAGTTAAGCGCACGACACAGTCGGTGAGAAGAATCAAATTAATAAGTGATCGACTGCATGCCCACTCAGTGAAGTACCTCCTGCATATAATTAATGAAAAATTAACTGAATTAACAACGTGGGATCAGCGCTGTTGAGTTCAGACAGTGCTTCACTTGATTCTCTCAGACAATATAGGCTAATAACACATCCTTCAAAACGAACCAGCACTTTTCCTCGTCTAAAAATATATATGCCGTAATTCCATTACGTCTGACAAGTGATAAATGGTAGTGTACCTCGCGAACAGTATAGTTTAAACGGAAACCGCTCAGCATGCGGATTACTAATATCGATGACAGCGAAAAGTCGGAATGGACCGTACGCTAAGCCATGAAGACAGTGAGACATCTTGGCTAGTAGTCAGAAGAATGCTAAACCCACTGTCTGTCACCCATTTCGTTACTACACAGCGGAACTTTACTACATATGAAAGTTGGATGAAACGGCTGAGATCTAAATACGCGGCTTTTGAATGCAATGCTCTACTGACAGATGTACGGTGATATGGCCTGATCGACGCATTGTTTAGCCGGCCCCTTAGTGGCTAACCCATGATAGTTAGCGGTACAAAACAGAATAGGCATGAAGCAAATGCACATCTGTCATTTGGATTAATTCAACGGTGAGGAAGATCAACGGTGGTGGTGCTAATATGAATATACTGCGCTATTCCATTAAGTCGTTGCCCAGAGTTCATCGCGGAATAAAGCATGCAGATTACTGCATACACTGCAATCTAGTTTTATGCGTTTCCATCTGAACAGAATCTACATATTCTACCATAAAACAGAACATGTACGCAACTGACGGTTTGTTATAGATCATTATCGAATCGGAAAGTACGAGATGAACAGAACGGTGGAAAATTGTTTAATTTTGGAATATCGATTGCGCACTCACCTCACCGGAAGCTACCGCCTCTCCGGGAATGAAAAGCTCAGGGTAAACGGTGTCGAGGTACCACTGAAACGATTTGCATTTCAGTTTTTCTCTGAGAGCTTTGCGACTCGACACGTCGCCATAATCATCCTAGAAACGTAGACCAAATATGAAAAAAAAACGGTGAACAATAATAATCAAATACCAGCTGGTTATTAATGCGATCGTAGTAATTTTGCTTGTAGTCGTCTAGCCACACCTCCGCCAGTCTAACAGAGTTCCGTTTCACAACATTGACACCGGTTCGCCATTTGTACGGCGATCGTTTCCGGAAAATGTGACCAACGTGACTGCAGGGCGCAATTTCAAGACGGCCACCGCACATCCACGACTACAATAGAATAAAATGAAAGAAAAGAATCACAATTTTATTCTCCTTCCACTTAGATTAATATTATTTTTAAAATATATTTTACATTTGTCTATCCGAAACTTGGAAGGGCTTCAAATCTGAGAACCCTGAAAATAATCGACAACATTCAAACTGAACAGTCTTCGATAAGCTAAAGATCGCCCTAAGATCTTAATCGAACTTGCTTCATACTGCATGATATCTTCTTGTTGTCATCATCTTTTAACAGAGAAAAGAAGCTGGTTTCTGATGTTCTATACAGTCTCCTCGGAAGTACAGTTTCACAGACGAACAATGCACATGCGAACGTATATTCGTCTTTACTTTGTTTATCCGTGTTGTGTACAGGCTTTAATTTTAAAAAAATTTCTGGCTTTCCGGCCAAACAATGTCTCACATATGGCTGATTTTATTTTCCTGCACTTAGGACATCCATGAATAAGAGAAAATAGATTCATACTTATATGGCTATCACCATGATCAACATCTGACAGAGATAGGGTGAACTTTTTACGTCGCTAACGTTCCTGTAATTTTAAAATATATTAAGATTCTTCTTACAAGGGATGCAGTAAGACATTTTGGGTATTCTGTTTGCAGCAGGATCCATCGTAAACTATTAATCGGAAAAAAAAACTCAAAGCATAACTGTGGGAAGTTGTTGGGAACACTTAATTTCGATTTTGAGGTCGCTCACCTTATATATCATGGGCTCTCAGTCGGCACCATTCGTGAGTGTACGCCAATCAGCCGCCTGACATACATCTATCGTGCTTATGAGAATACACAGGGCCAAACACCGTTGCTGCCAGTCTTATCAGCCTTCCTAAATTCTTCCCTGTCTGTGTCATTCTGTACAAATAGGGGAATAACGATCTGCCCGAAAAAGTGCAGCAAAGCGTTGAAAAACGCTTCTTAGCCTGATCCCTCAGTACCTAAACGGCTAGGC